GGTTTCATAGCACACTCATAGTACTAGAAAAAAATGATTTCCTAGCTTTTTGCTCGATATCTCTTTGAGTTTTCATAGTGTCAAACCATACGGACAAACTAAGCAAACATTTTTGTTGAGCTTTAAAAGCTGTACTCTGTGAGTGTACATCAAGGCTCTTTGATTGAAAGCCTATAGAGTTAAATAAATGTTAGTTTTTATGAATTTTCGAAAATCTTCCTGTTTTTCAGCGTATTTTCCCAGTTTTTGAAAAAAATATGGGCAGCTTATCCCAGTAGTTTTTCCTAGAGCAAGGTTTTGGTTTGTGCAAATATCACTAAGTGATACTATGCAAGGCTAGACGCATTTTGAAACAGTGCTACTTCAAATAGTTTATGTGTTAATAGTAAGGTAAGGCATGCAAACAACGACTTGTTTTTTGAAAAATAAATTTTCTACGTAGAATCCTTTACATGATGCTTCAATACCAGCAAGAAAAGCGAGCCAGTAGCAACGAAGACACTTTGAAAGTGATTATTGATAGATTATCGTGGTATTATTATGATAAGGTTTTTCTTTTGTGAAACACGATATGAAAGGAGTGTTGAAGTGTATAGGGTAGAAATTTTGCACCCACTCCCCCCCCCCGCCCCTCCCCCCATAGGCCGTGACAGAGAAATTTTATACCTATCGCACACCGTAATAGAGAACCCCGGTACCCATCACAGACCGTGACAGAGAATCCTGGTACCCATCACAGACCGTGACAAAGAATCCAGATACCCATCACAGACCGTGACAGAGAACGCCGGTACTCATCACAGATCGTGACAGAGAATCTTTCTACCCATCATAGACCGTGACAGAGAAACTGTAGTTGTCAAGCATCAGATAAATGGTTAGCTATAAATGTGTCGCAAAGAAATGGAACAAAAGGATTTCCATTTAATCAGTAACAATAGATCCATCGTGTTTCACATTTTGAATTCCGCAAGGGATTGCGCTAACAGCTTTTATATCTGTGTTGATCTTTTCTGTAGGATTTTGTAGAGAATTCAATGCTGAATGTTTTGAGAAAAAACCGTTTCGATACAATAATAACTGGCAAAGATATGTGTAAGTACCAAAAGTGAGTCATAAAGGGTTCCTGCGTAAGGAAATGTGTAAATAGATAGAACGAAGAAGAAGAGACCCTGCTTAAAATTTGAACCGCACATCTTCACTTATCCAGACAGATGTCATAAGTTAATTAGAGCGGAAAGTACATTTTAATTTGCGTTTAGCATCGGAGTGTATCATCGTTGACGCCAACAATATGAAGAAAATAATGATGGCTAATTTATCCTGACTCACCGGCTAATTTGAGAATATATGAGAAAAAACAAACAAGCCAAGGAATCTGTAGGGCGGGTATTATCCTTAAAACTGGCTGAACTTCTAGGATTATCCTAGGTATTGTTGGATCAAAACGAGGAATTACAAGCAGTCAGTAAATTTATTATTGTATCACTTGAATGCAGTCTACTCACTCCATGAAACAATATGAGAATATGATGAAAAGAACATGAGCCCGTAGGCCATCATACAAGACACTCATTTCAATATTTCTAAAGTTCGTATTGTTCGAAGAGTTTGTGTGTTACTCGTTACTACTTCTATATTCACTAAGCTAGTTTCTACGTTAATCGAAAGCTTTCTGTCAATTATAGGAAGAAACTTGAGTACATGTATGTTGAAGCGGAATATGATGATCAGTTTTAGATAGAGAAATAGTGTATTCCCAATTATTCAATGATGCTTTTAGCAACCTTAGTAAAAGAACTGTTGAAATCAAAATACCGCTCCCATCTGTTGCTATATCCATCGAAAGGAGTAAGACACTGGTAAATTTTGAATTTATCAAGTTCCATGTGATAGAAACCAAAGTAGCGATGCGATACAGCCGCTATGGCTTCAAATTTGCTTTTGAAGCCAATAACAGCACCACTAATTTAGAATTTCTATTATTGAGCATTCAGTGGTTTGATGATGCGTCATCGCTGTCATGAACACTTAACAGATGGGACGTGTCGCGTGTTCTGATATTGTTTCCGCCATTGCATGCCATAATATACTCGTATAGGAAAAGTCGTGCTTGAGGTTAGTGATAAAACCTATACTGATGCAGAGTTCATATCAGCCGGTCCGCCGAAGATCAATATTTATGAGTCAGAAGTGGATGTAACAGTTAAACTGTATTCTAAAAGACATACAGTAGAATCATAAAACCTTTAATGGTTTATGAAAATCAGATACCCTTTCATAAACCCACACTGAAAAAAAAATGGTACGATACCGAACCAAAAAAGGTACTTTGAACGAAAAAAAGGTTTCGTACATAGTACGGAACCTAAAAAGGTTTCAAATTCGTTGCAATTCTCTGAACCATTTTAGGTTTGGTACAGACCACTTCGAAAAACTTGAAAAAGTGTCCTGAGTCAATGACAATCAATTTTAGTCACCCAAAGTTTTGTACGAAACCTTTTGAGAGTTTCGTATTGTCTTCCTAAATGGTTGGATACGCTGCAAAAAAATTTTTATGATTACGGAACCATTTGGAAGACAATACGAAACCCTCAAAAGGTTTTGTACAAAACTTTGGGCGACTAAAATTGATTGTCATTGACTCAGGACACTTTTCAAGTTTTTCAAAGTGGTCTGTACCGAACCTAAAATGGTTCAGAGAATTACAACGAATTCGAAACCTTTTTGAGTTCCGTACTATGTACGAAACCTTTTTTTCGTTCAAAGTACCTTTTTTTGGTTCGGTATCGTACCATTTTTTTCAGTGCATTCAGAAGGGTTTCTGAAAATTTCAAATATAGTGAAAAAAAGAGCTCATTAAACGTCGTAGTTCTGTAGATCCTTTACGTCGTTACGATTTTTAGGCTTTTTTTCACAGTAATCTGCTGTTCGCTAAGCCTAAATGAAAAAAGTCGTATTACTTTATAAATATATTCGTACCATTACGTCTACTTTTCGCATAAATCTAAATAAAAAAAAAAAGGTTTTATTTGATAAATCGATACTTACAATTGGATCTCGTATTGAGATTGAGGGTGTTATTCTATCTTATTGTTCATAATAACAAAGAGCAACTATAAATAGCAAAGCTTGTTAGCGCAGCTCTTTTGAAACTGAAATGTGGAACTCACATATTCCTTAGTCTCATTACACTTATAGAATGTTGACTAGGTGAAGTATCTTCAACAAACTATAACTGTTGTCCAACGTGATTGATCTCTAGACAGTTCATACATGTTCTTTGTTTCTGCATTCCGAATAGAATTTTCTTTTCTTTTTTATATATTGGCCCTCTTTTGTTATTTTTGTTTCATTGATAGTTATTCGCGCGCTTTTTTCTTTTACTTTTTACAACGCATTACCTTGACAATAAACTTCTAAAGCTCCTGTGCGAGTTGCTGAGGCATGCAGCGATTTCCAGGCCTCCTCTTTCTTCATAACATTTGTGGGCGTGAGTGTGAAGAGAATCAACACTCACACCCATTTTCATGAAAACAACTATTTAATTGACTAGAAATCTCTGATTTTCTCTAAAAATAGCATTTTACAAATCCGGCATCACTTTTCTTTTGCCGAAACTGTTTTTTTTCATGATATTCATTTTTCGACCATTCCTGAGGGGACCAGGGGGCTAAAATTGACCGAAAAATGAAAGTTATAGAAGCAGCTTGCAATATATACGGGTCGATTCAGTTTTTTGTGCTGATTTCAAGTATAACATTTTTCTAAAGTCAAACAAAGCACTTTCTGCCCGAAAAGCGTCAAAAAAAGAGACAAATTTACTGTCAAACACAATAGTGGAAGCAAAAGTAATTCTTAAGACATCGAATTTCAAGTTGAAAATGGCGTCGTCACAAAGAGCACATTGAGTTGCATATTCAATAAAAACTATCCAGCTGGTGCATCCAGAAAAAACTATAATTTCGAAAGACTCGAAAAATCATTATTTGTGCTAAGGGACCCAATCATAGCGGTGTTTGACATTTATCTATAGAAAAAACTTCCAATGTCTAAGATGTTCTTAAAGATTCTGATAGAGAGTGAAATTCTCTATCAAACAAGCTTATTTGTGACTAGTTTAGTTTGAATTTTGATGGACTTTCAAGTCCCAAACTGAATTTTACGGCTTCCAGAGAGCACTTCAGATCTTTCTTATTATCCGAGCACTTTTGAAAAATAGTGTGATATTTGTAATCAGCACACATAGCGCTATCGAACTAGAAAGTCTTCTGATGGAACGGAGAAAAAAAAAAATTTTTTCGAAACCTGAGGGGACCCTAGAGGTCATAAAATTGAGTTGTAATAAAATGCAAAATAAACTTGTGAAAAATAATCAGAGTTCAATGTCGATTATCGGGCTAATAAAATTAGGCTGATCTTGTTTGGGATGGTCATTCCATAATTTGACACACCTCCTTTATTCAAAATTCCAGCAAAAATGCAAACAAAGTTATTTGTTTAAATTTTTCCTGTTCTCTTAAGTCATAAGACATTAGTCAAGAGTCCTAAATATCTTTTCTTTCATACACTATATTTCTTCTTGGTCATGTTGCTTAGTTCTTCTTTTTGCTTTAGATTTATTTTATATAAATAATTCGTCGAAATATTATTCCTGATTCAAAATGTCAATTGAAATTCAATCAATATTCGCCTTTCTCAGGCAGAACTCAACTCATTCCCATGGCAGCCGCACAGCGCAATCCGTAGTTGCAATTCTTATTATAACAATAATGATATTCTTCTTGATACTCTACATAATAACTATCATTGGATATCTTGTAGGAATCATTTTTCGTTTGTGTTTGCCGGTCAAAGTTCATCCTACACTGTAGGATATATTACCATCACCGCCCAACGTATCCGATTATCCGATTGTTCTCGTTCGGTTGCCGATGATGAATGAAATCGAATGCTGCGAATCCGTCATTCATTGTGCATGCAATCTTGACTGGCCAAAAATGCGATTATTTGTTCAAGTACTCGACGACTCGACCGATGAACGAGCTATAGCACTTGTTGATCAGTGCGTCGATAAGTGGAGCCGAAAGAGCATACAAATTGACACCATTCGTCGTCCTATTCGGGAGGGATTCAAAGCGGATAGTATGCAACATGGCATGACCTTTATGCCGAATGCTGCTTACATTGCCATATTTGATGCTGACTTTTTACCAACAGCTGACTTTCTCTTACAAACAGTACCAACATTGATACAAGATCCACTTGTGGCTTTCGTTCAAGCACGGTGGACATTTACCAATGCCAAAGAGTCCTTCTTGACACGTATGCAAGAGATCTGGCTCAATTTTCATCATAAATGCGAACAAGAAGGTAGTTATCGAGTATCGGTCTTCTTCGGTTTCAATGGTACGGGTGGAGTTTGGCGTACATCGGCCATCGAGCAATGTGGTGGTTGGCAATGCGATACACTTGTCGAAGACTGGGATCTCTCTCTTCGAACCCATCTAAATGGTTGGCATTCAGCCTATATGAACAATGTCGGATGTCTAAACGAAATATCACCGACGTTCGCTGCCTTTTACTCCCAACAATACCGATGGACTTGTGGTCCGATGCAGGTCCTTCGAAAGTTAGCCCCACGCATCATTCCAACAAAACACATATCCTGGGCAAAAAAGTTGTGGTGCTTCAGGTTCCTATTTCGCCTCCTATACGATCTTTTTCAATATCTGGCGCTTCTATTATTACTGCCAATGACTATCGTGTTACAAATGGCAAACGCTACATATTTCCTCTTTATGGTGTTGACGGTGCTTCCCATGTTACGCGTTGTGGCATTCACACCAAACGAAATCCATATGATTCTACTCTATATCCTTTTTATGAATGGTGTGTCTCTACATAAATCCTTTGCCGTCATTACCGGAATATTTGGTCATTCATCGAGCAAACAGTGGATCGTAACACCAAAGTATAACTGTGTTAATAATGCATCACCTCAACAGTTGACAGAAGTACAGACATCCGATCCGACTGAAAATATCGTGACGCCGTTAATAGAGAACACAAAGCCGACAACATCAGGTCGTTGTTTATTTTCTTTTCGAGCCATATTTGCTTTTTTTTCATCGATTTGCGATCGAATCTGTAAAATATTCAGATCGTTTTGGTTCTACAAATGGAACTTCGTTATGGCTTTATACTTATTCTCCATTGGATGCTTTGCGTTCATCAGTAAGCAATATGTCATTGGTGTCTACAATGTTTTAAATGAACTGATATTTACAGTATTTTCATTTGGTGCCATGGGACGATTCGAATAGGAATAATACGCTCGTGAAAACTTTGTTCAAACATCGTATTTAGACGTATTTATAGATCGGTGACAGACAAAGGGTTGAATAACTCTTTGAAGATCGGACTTTTTTAATTAAAAAACATTATTCAATCGTTTTATTTTATTTTAACTCAAAATGGCTACGTGATAATCTTATGATAAGCAAAAAAACAATTTTTATTCATCTTGTAAACAGAATGCTAACTTTCAAGTAGAGCATTCGATGTTGGATCGAACTTCTGCTTCCTTTGTGCTGCAATAAGCACATCTTCTTTTTGTTCCTTTTACAGGTAAATGCATTTCATTGTCAAAATCAAGGGTAGTTTTTGGTGATGCTAGTTTAGACTTCTTTTCAGAAGGAGATTTTCCACGACTTATTTGTTCGCTGCTGTCAGAGCAGAGAAACTGCGCAACTGAAACCATGTAATTAAAGTATGTTAATTTATCCTGAGCTAACTGATTATAGCAAATAAATGAGTTGGAAATATATGTATTTAGAAAACAAATAAAAATTCGAAGCCAGTTTTCTTTAGATTTGCGATCAAGGTTGTAGCAGGATATTCTTTGAGTGAGTCGATCAACCCCATGCACAAACTGATTGTAATCTTTTTTTACTGTTAAACAGTTAATTGTCAAACGTTGACCATTTTTCAATCGACTGGGAACCGGAACAACTTTGTTGTCTTTATGATAATCTGAAGCCAACAAAACGTGTCTGGTATCCATCCATATGAAGACAGTGCTGTTCGATATAATCATTGATTTGTAATTCCCTCGTTCCATTTTGTCTCTCTTGCCAAAAAATCGACGAAATACCTGCTCGATGTGGTCTAATCGTTCCACTGGCCTTTTTGTTCTGTAATTTTAGCTTTTCTAATAATCCCAGAGAAGTGAAAAATTTATCGAAATATAGGTGTTTTCCTTCACAATAATGACCAAAGATAAAATTGAAAACAACACGTTCGCCCAAAGGTACTTATTTTTCACTGGTTTCTTCTTTTCCTAAATAGATTTCATATTTGAATAAGTAACCAGTGATTGGATCACATAAACAACAAACTTTATATCCTCTTTTTGGGTGTGGATGTGTAATAGCTACCACAATACCTGCTATTTTCGAATATACTGAGTGTGAATACTTGTAGATAATGGTATTATAGATAAATGTCGACTGTGCTGATTGAAATTCTATCGATGGGGCTTTGTTATGACGAACTTTTCTTCTTTATTATTGGGGTATGATTTGTAGATAGATCATGATGGTGTAGTTTTGCTGGTGTACATGAAAAGTGTTTAGTTGCTACTGACAATTATTTAAGTTATATTGGGACTGATTGTTTCGTCTTTTGGCTATGGATTAGAGCTGGATTGATGGGGAATATGATAGGGAAAGCAGTTTGTTTTGAATGTTTGTTATAGATGAATTGCTTGTTAGTATGGATTCAATACTCGTTTTGAAGAATTAGTGTATTGCTGCCACGATCATTTTGGTGATGGGAATGGACCGGTAGAAGTGTAGATGGAAACGGTGAATCTGTCATAGATGTAACTGTTAATTTGGTTGAACGTTAATTTCATATTGTTTTATCTTGTCATCAAGCTTTTGGCACGAAAGTCGTGTAGGATGTCTTAGATTTATCTGCTAATGTTGTTTGATCTCTATCGATAGTGATGCAATTAATTCATTTTGGCAGTTGAAAGCATAATTACGTTTTTCTGATATTGATATATCTTGGAAGAATATGAGTTGTGTGTTACGATTCGTATTTATTGGATTGAATGCTTCATGTTAGAAAAGACAAACAAAACTATATACTATTCAAAGGAACACTCTTACTTGTTTCAGGGTGTGGGTGTGAATCTTTTCTTCTATGACACCCACACCCACCCACATCCACACCCGTTTTTTTACATGATTGTTATAGAAGGTTTTCAAGAAAAATATATACTTGCTTTGGCGATCGAAACGACTTGGATGATGTTAACGCATTAAAAATCAATTAAATCACCATAATCAGTTGTTTTCTCTTAGATTCCGAGAATTCTATCATAAGTTTCTAAGCATTGAAATAAACTAAGATAACCACTTTTTAAATCTTAGTGGACATGTACCAAGCCCGAACTCATTACGAGCTTACTTTTCTAGTTGAACTCAATCTCATCAAGTTCAAACGGTTTGGGTTTGGTCCATGTGTAAATATTAGTGTCTTTTTTAATTCTTTATTGCTATCTATGCTTATTTTTTAACAATATTTTGTAAACAGAAAAATGTAAGAAAGATTTCTAAATATATATTCACAAAATGATTCTCATTTGTTCTATTCAATGATGTTTTGAACTTTTTTTCTCTCGTCATTGTTCTGTGTTTTGTTGCTATGGATTTTATAATGCTATTGTCGATCAATGTGCTCGATAATGTATTGAATTAAAAAGAACACCTAATAATAAAGTTACATGGTAGAAAGAGAAACGAAAACAAAGGAAAATTTTTATTCTTTTTTTTTCATGTTGATAATTTTTTTACAAATGAAAAAAGAAATTCAATGAGTATTAACGAAGAAAATTTAGAAACATATTTTCTTATTTGGCTTGATAATGCAACTGGAAATATTCAAAAGAAACAACTTACTCAAGTAGAACTCCGCTCATCAATTCATTATTTAAAAATATTTTCGGATGAAGAACTGTGTGAAAATTATATTCAATCATTATCGAATGATGATAGAGTTATATTTATTATTAATGCTCAATTAGGAAAAAAGTTTATCCCTCGAATTCATCAATTATCACAAATAACTTCCATCTATGTATTTTGCGTTGACAAAAGCAAACATGAAGCATGGGCTAATCAATATAACAAGGTGAAATTTAATTTTATATTTTTATAAGCATATTTTCCACTTGAATATAGCTCTTGAAAAAGTTTTCGAGAGATAAGATCTTCAGAGTTAAATCTTTTGTAATAAGTTTATTGTAATTTGAATATTTTGAGAAATGAATACATATTCGATAAGACAAGACTTCAGTGCACCTGCAAATGTTCTATTTTGATTTTGTGAAATATGTTCTAAAAGAAATGTTGCAGTATAGAGGATAAAGACTCGCACTCCGTGTCTCCCAGACAAATCATGTATCATTAACGTCTTATTAGAATATGTTAGTAGCCGAAAATCTTTATGGGTGTGGGTGCTCAACTTCATGAGTAATAGAATAGTTTGGTTTGCCGAGTGTTTGTTCTTGAGATATCGAAATTTTTAACAAATAGCTGTGGTGACGTGCAAAATTGACTTGCACTTTTTATTTGGAAATTTTAATATCTCGAGACAGAAGACATGGCAAAGAGAATCATACTAGATGGATCAAATGAACATTGTAACAGTCGAAAAACCATATGGTTCTTGAAAAGGTCTCCCCATGAGTGAAGCCCATCGGATCGAAGAATTTTTGGACCTGATTTGCAGTTTTTTTTTTGTATCTGATTCCAGTTGGGTTCAGATACACTTGTAAGGCTCTACTCAAGGTCTCTTCCACTACAATATATTACAATTTTTATGTAATTAATAATAATAGACTCATCTTGTTTCACGTTTGCATCCCACAGAAATTGCGCAAATATTTTTTCAGTAAATTTGGATTATGTGCATGGAAGAATTTATTGAAGATCCAAATGATTTTGAAAATGAATCAAATATGTTCAAAAAACACATAACTTTCTACTAAACACTTTCAATTTTCTTTTTTGGTTGATAAAGAATTTGTCTGACTGAGAAAAATATTCAAGTAGAAAATAATGCGATTTAAATGATGATTGCTTAACGTTTAAATAGGACTCATCTATTTTCGATATATAGATAAAATGTTTAGTAAGTCAATATGATGAACTCGTTTCTCAAATTGGATATGATCAAAAACGAAGAATTACAGCAAAAACTGACGAACCAATATCAATAAGTATTCTTGATGAAAATCGGACTAATACTTCGAGTACTACTCAAGAATATTCAACAACAATTGACTATGATTTTGCTTATTCTTTTTCACTCGTTAATTGTCTCGTTAAAATGAAATCATTTTATTCCGAAAAAAGACAATTTATTAAATTATGTGAAAATATTTATCAAGAAAATCCCAATGAATTATTAATACTAGAAGAGTTTACAAAAGAATATTCATCTTTAAAAGCATTATCTTGGTTAACAAGAGATTCATTTATTCATCGGTTAATTAATAAAGCAATAAGAATAAAAAATTTTCATATATTATTTTTATCTCGATTTTATTTTCAAGATATTTATCAACAACTTGAAAAAAATAAATGTTTAAAAGCTATTCGTGTTTATCGAAGTTATCATCTTTCAACAAATCAGTTAGATTTATTAAAAAATTCTATCGAGAAAATTATTTCAATAAATTCATTTTTTCTAACGAATCTAAATCGTCGACAATCAATTTCTTATTTAAAAGAATCAATTTTAAACGATGATCATCATTCTATTCTATTCGAAATTGATGCTGATCCTCGTTTGAATGGTATTCAATCATTTGCTAATATAACATCATTAAGTTAT